CGAAACCAAACCAAACTGCTGGTAAAAATAAAGAAAAGGGTCTGAGACCTCTTTTGGAGACTTCCAAGTTTGCTGTTGCATCCGACGCTGCGGTTGAGATTAAGGTCTGGATTTTCCGTTCGCCTATGTTGCCCTATCGGTGCACACACATCGGCACATACAACATACGGGATGATTATTCAGGCACACCAATGATTTCTCAACTGTACCTTGCATCGTTGTCCTGTTCCTGCTTCTGGTGGTCGTGGTGGTGGTTACGGGAGATAAAAAATCGCCATCGAGGCCCGTCCCGGCGTTCGATGACATGTGATCATCAGCATCTTCGCAAACCGCCTGTGAAAATGCGCAGACACCAACGCAAGAAATAAAGAAGGAAGAAAAAAAAAAGGGACGTACCGATGAAGAGGTCGCTAGTGTACAGCAATCTCCGTTCGCCAATTGCTTGAGGGGTTGAGCTAGCGGTATGTGGGGCAAGAGGGGCACCATCAAAATGGAAGAGGAAAGGGCATCGCTGACCAATCTGGCACTGCAGTCCTGACCGGTCAGCCAATTGTGCCTTTGGCAGCTGGAATGCTTCGCAGCTGCCCACGTGCTTGGCGGGAACAACACCAGAAAGATGGTGAATCTCGGTCTCGTCCCACATTTTCGAGTCGTTTCGACATTCTCGCTTCCCCATTCATCCTGCCTGATCCAACTAGACCATCCCACATTGGGGAACACAGTCCACCTTCTTTACAGAATCCACAACCATGCGGGTCACGATAATGCGAGTCAGCATCCGCCATCTTCCCTCAGACAAACATGTTCGGTGGTCGCCTTTTTTGTCGTGGACCAAGGCAAGCAGATGATCCCCCTGGCGATTACAGACATCATCGCCGTGAACTGTCAACAATCAACAGTCGGCCAGACCTTTGCGCTTTGACTGCCGGTAACCGAGTCCGAACCTACATCCGGCAGGTCCTGCAATGAGCCTCAGGGGAAAACGGTTTCTAGGTATCCAAAGACGGTAGGTGTCTTTCGTTGCGACGGTGAAGAAGACGACCTCAATGAGAGAGCCTACGCTGATCGGCATACAAAACAGACTCCACCAATGTCCCACCTTTCTAAGCAACACCACTACGGCCCATTCCCCTGCTACTATGTATAATACCGCAGACATGGCTCCCTATACACTACACTCGCGTAGCCCTTTGGGGAATTCTCGACAAGGTCAAAGACAAGGTCCTCAAACCAACCCTGCCTCCTGCAGAACACCCCTGGGACAATGGGGCTCTAATCGGTAAAGTCTCCTCTCTGGGGACGACCCCCCGTCCGTCCTTGAAAGGCTGCTTGGTCTTGGGGCAGGGTCGAGAACATCTTTAATCCTGTGGCTCCTCTGTCCCTGTGAGGTCCCACAGTCTCGCCTTCTTGCTCTTCTTTCAGGTTTCTTCAACTCCGTCGTTCGTTATCTGATCCATACGCCAAAACGCCGTCCATATACTCCGCTTGAATATCAAGAATCCGGCCCGTGTCCGGGTTTCCGAATACCTTCACCCCGAGTACGACATCGACGGCTGTGTGACCGAAACTACCAAACACACCAAAGGGTTAGAGCATGTGTCAGTAGAGGGCCATCCTAATCATGGGATCCATCCGAACCACAGTTGCCATTCTTGGCCTGTGCCTATTTTCGTTCTTCACCAATGTCGCCTCTGCTGAACAAGTCATCGAGGCGCCACCAGTCAGTCTCACGGAGGCCTTGGGGAGCTTGCCACATTGTGCTGTAAGAATACCGCCACCAACGCCATGAGCACCAAGCACCAACATACCTAGTCACCCACTTCGACTATACTATATCTGGCCATCCAACCGTCGAAACCCAACTTCACCGAGCCCACATCGACATGCGTGGCGAGAATCACAAGCTGAACAGTGTCTTTTCCATATAGCTCAATTGCCTCGTCAACACCGTCACCACCGTAGGGACATGCGGCACTCTGCTAAACCCCAACCTGGCCGACTGTGTGTGTCACAGTCAGGAAATCAACGACCTTTCGGCCGCGTGTATCCATGGGGCTTGCACTATCAAGGAATCTCTTAGTGAGCACCTCCCATGAACCAAGTGCTGGAGTGAAGCTAACCCTCCCTCGAAGCCGCCAAGAACATCACCTCCCACCTCTGCCACGAGCCCATCAGGAAGAACACCACCATCGTTCCCGTCCTTGCCGTGTTCCTCGGCCTTGCCCTATTCGCGGTCGTTCTGCGGGTGCTTGCCCGTGTGTTGACCAGGGCTTATTTCTGGTGGGATGATTTGTGCAACCTTTTCGCCTTTTGCGGTTGCATTGGTTTCAGCTCTCTCAACTTCAGATCGATCGACCATGGCTACGGACTTGATATTTGGTATGTCAAGTTTGACGACGTCACTACAATTCTGAGGGTAGGTCTAAGCTCGCGGCTCTTTTGTTGTACTTATGCCTCGGATGTATCACTAACAGCGAGCGTCACAGTTATTCTACGCCAACATGTTGCTGTACACGGTCTCCCGCTTTTTTGTCCGGGCCTCCATTATTCTCTTCTACCTCCGCGTATTCCCCAAGGACAACAAGGTCAGCCGCATTCTTACCTACACCATGGCCTTCAACGTCGTCTACAACTTCAGCTTTTTGTGCGCCGTCATCTTTCAGTGCACCCCCATCAATAACTTTTGGTTGTCATGGTCGGGAGAGAGCCAAGGTCACTGTGGAAACGTGCAGGCACTTGTCTGGTCCGCTGCGGGTACGGGTATTGCCTTTGACATTTGGTTGCTTGTCTTGCCGTTCCCTCAGCTATTTGCTCTTAATCTCCACTGGAAGAAGAAGGTTATGGGCTGTGTGATGTTCAGCGTTGGTGCTTCGTAAGTTACTACAGAACCGTCTGCTTTTTATTGTACAGGTTACTAACTTTGTTGTGGGCAGTGTCATGATCATCAGTTTGATCCGACTCAAGACCATTCCCCATTTCGCAAAGGCCGAGAACCCAACCAGTACGTTCCACCACAACTACACCCAGATGAAGCATGTCCGATGAATCACTACTAACACATGAGATAACAGGGGACATTGCCGATCTTTGCATTTGGTCTGGCGTCGAAATCGATGTCGGTGTCATCACACCCTGCCTTCCCAGCTTACGACTGCTGTTCCGCAAGCTGCTCCCCAGCATCCTCGGGACAACCAACAAGTACGAGCTCGAGCCCGTGTCAGCCAGCGCCAGCACCGCCATGAACAAGAGTCTTGCCAGCAAGAGCAAACCCACATTCCACGAGTCCACCAAGACGACAATGGACCACGGCCACGACGGGTCGTCGATAGGGACCAAGTGTACGCATGATGATGACCACTCGCAGCTGCATGGTGCGAGCTGCGAGAGCATTACCGAGCTGGTTACCGACTCGGATGAGGATTTCAAGAAGATGGGGTCCAAAGTATGACACTGGTCTATGAAAAGTGCTTTGTTAAGCGAGGGTTTATTCGCTTGAGAGTTTTCTTTTGTTCTTTTTTTTTTTTTTTCTTTTCTTCGTTTCTTCGAGTTCTGGATACAGTAATACCCGAACTGGAACAGCAGACCTGGTTGCACACAACAGTCATACACACACACAAAAGTTCTTTGCGTCTCTCGTTTATGAAAGAAGGCGGCAAGAAAAGCTGGAATTACAGCTAACATACGTCTTATGACATAATTTCCGTGTATGTCCATTATATGGGTTGATGGATGGATGGATGGGTATCATGGAATTGACATTGGAGGAACACCAAGGGACGACTGAAAGAAGAAGGGATTGGAAGCGATGGGACGGATGGACGGAAAATTCGAGGCTACCTAGGAGGCAAGGAAGGAAGATACATGCATGGATAGGTACCAGACCAGCTAGGAAGGAGGAGGTGGAACATATATACGTTACTTGAACTGTCTAACTGACTGACTACTACCGTCAGATCACGACAGATTAAATTAAAAGATTGTATCTGTCGTATCGATGGAACGGATTACTACGTAACCTACCCAATTTCTTTTCCTACTTCCTTATTCCACCCTTCATGATTTCCTTCCTTCTCTGTCTTTTTTTATTTTTCGAACAACCCTAGACTAGAGGTATCCTTGCGCCATTCAACCATTCTTACTTCCCCAGCAGTACTGCATCGCTCCCTCGATCCTGTAACGGTCAAACGCCGCCAGCGGATCAGAAGAGGAGCTGGTGGTCGACGAAGTATTGGTGGATCCCGTGGAATTCGAAGTGGAAGGAGAAGTGGACTTGTCACTTGTTGTGGTTGCAGATTTGGTGGTGGAGCCGCTCTGTGTGGTGGAAGATGTGGTGTTGGTGGAGGTAGAGGTGTTTGAGGAGGACATGATGGGGAATTGGTGGATGGGTTTGGGCTATCTGTAGGTGTGGTGGTCAAGGGAACGGGTTAGGTAAGCGAGGGAGCCTGAAACTCGCGTGGCTGTTTGGGAGGGAGAGGCAGGTTATATTGCCTTTGAGTTCATTCCGAGAATTCAGGTGAACACCGGGACAAGGAGGAAATCATTTATGGTTGATGGACCATTCTGCAAGCCAGGCTTTTCATCAACACTCCCTCCTTTGTGGTTCAACAAACAAGTATGGAATGCTCTCCCATTCATTGATCACAATTAACATTTCATCCTTCATCTACACCACCATCGGAAAGGAATCAGACCTCACTTCTTGACTTGTGTAAGGTAGAGGTACATGTAAGGTTCAGATCCCCCCGAGACATCTACCTACCAACTGGTAATACCAAATGACCCCCTTGATGACTTGGTGCCCCATACTTGTACGTGGCTGAGCCATGGACTCGAGAAGCTAGACTACCTACCTAGCCTCTTCCTCTTCACCGCTGAGATCCAGACAAACTACGTATAAGTACGACTCGAACTGTGTCAACTTTGAGCTTTCTACCCTCCTTCAACATATGCACCTGCACTCCCTCCACCCTACTCGCTTCACTTGCCTTCTTGTACAAACAATGAGTTCAAACAACCAATCCCACACCTGGGACAAACAACCTAAAGTATCTTCTGTGACCACTACCTGTACCGCTGCATCTTCCAACTCTGGTACACCTGGCTCTTCTAGCTCAACCTTTGGGCAAAATGGAGGGACAACAACACCTGCTCCTGGAACGATTACCGTTACTACTACTATCACTATCGTATTTACGCCGGCTAACTCTACAAACCCGTAAGTGGCGAGGAATGTTGAAACGCCAATAGTCTTGGGTGGCTGGACTTGGGAAAGAAGTTTGTAGAGATATCTACTTGGGGATATGAACTCGGTATCTACCTACCTAGGTAGAGGTATGTACAAACTAAAATGGGAAGGGTGAACTTGCGTTAAGCGTTTGTTGGAGACGCCATGGATGTATGTGCGCATGACAGTTTGAGACGAGAAATGCTTGAAGCATTTACGTCGAGTTTGCATCACTCATGAGGTTCCGTTGGTGTTCATATGTTGGCTGGAGGTGTAGCAAACAATTCGACTTTTCAAAACGAGGAGGGCTACCTACCTACCTAAACAGACAGGTTCTTCTCAGCACACATGTTGTAGGTCTCACGAAGCTAGAGGTAGGTAGGTTAGGTAGGTACCAAACTCTCCCCTAACGGGATGATACATACAATGCAGACGTTATCACCGACATCTCGAGGACATTGCATCGTGCAAACAGATTTCAACTCTACCTACGTTGTTGACACGACCGTGCATCAGGACTAACTCAATTCGAGAACCAGGTATATCTATCTTCTTAGACCTCTCCACCCCCATTTCATACTCCCCTTCTTTTCCTTCACTACCTACCTACCTAGGTACCTACCTACCTATCTCGATCAGAATCAACATCCACCAACACCCACCAGGTTAACCATAAGTTCCAACCCCACACCAATCCTCCAGTCCAAATTGAAAACAATTGCACAAAATGTCCAGCTCCGACTCCAACACCTCTGGCTCCACCATTGAAATCGGCCGTGGCAACGGCGGCGGCGGTTCTTCTTCTTCTTCCTCCGGCGGTGGTTCTTCCGGCAGTTCCTCTTCAGGCGGTGGTTCATCATCCTCCGGCTCGGGTTCGGGTTCGGGATCGGGCTCCACTCATGTGTGGGAAACCATTGAGACAACTACCGAGGTGATTGAGACGTACACTGAAACGGAATGGGGGGGTAAGGGGTCCTCGGGGAAGAGTGGGAAGCGCTAGGTAGCTACCTCAAGGTAGATAGGCTTGAGGTGGTGGATGGGTGCTCAGGGGTCCAGGGGTCAACATGGGGAAAAAAAAGTCTAAACGAGGATGTGCAATAAAAACGACTTGGAAAAAAGTGACGATGAAGTCGACGAGAGGGAAAACAGGTGGAAGGTACCTAGGTACCTTACCTTGGAGGTAGTTATGCTTACGAAGAAGACGGTGGTCAAGAATCGAGTTGACGCCTGCTTGGTACATGGTGCCCGGTTCGTTGCAGTGTGGACTTGAACACGTTCCGTCCTCCCATCAAGTCTGGGCCACAGTGGCCATATCAATTCACCTCCCACTCACTCCCTTCTAGTCCCTTCCAGTCCTCTCCAGTCCTCCCCGTCCCTCCTTGCTCCCCTTTCCCTCCCACTCCTTTTTTCCGTCTTCTCCATTCCCATTCCTCCCTCCCCCGCCAAACCCCCTTCGCCCCTCAAACCCCCCGCATCACCAGCACCCAAACACAACCCTCTTATTCCCTCCTCTTCCAACGGTTCCATCCCTCATAGCCCCCCACCTTGACAATATCTTTCGCTTTGCGTTTGGCATCCGTCGCCTACCAGTAGAGGTAGAAATGTTCCAGTTTATGTTGTTGTAGCAACTATCCGTGCCGGGTCGGAACAGATCTCGAATGGATGTACCTCTAGGCGTGGTCTCGGCCATAGCTTTGGTGTAGATGGTCGTTAGGTGGGCCATGATTTCCTCGACGGTATGGTGGCATCTTCTGGCATTTGCCTGCACATGGGGAGAAGGGGTAGTATAGCGGGAGAGGAAGAAGGTCTGAGTTGGTGAGTGGAGAATGGGTCGCGGATTTCTAGCAGATGTACGGTTTGCAAGGGTGGAACTCAACGACATGGAGGTGTGGAAAGAAGGAGAAGGATGATTGTGGGCATGTCGGTGTTGAAGCTGGTTTTGGTGGTGGTGGTGGTGGTGGTGGTGATAGTCCATCTTTGATCTCTTTGATCCTTGGGCTTTGGTCCATCGGTTCGGTGGTTCTACGTTGAAGAACACTGGGAATCTCAGGTGAAAAATATGAAAAGAACTAGTAAGAACCTACGGAATCAGACCTTATCATTGAAATCATGGGTATCTATCAGGTTTGTTCTGTCCTGTTGGCTTTTGGTTTCACTTTGTGCAAGAACGCCCGTCCAACAAAGTGGAAAGTTGGGCAGCACTTACAAGTGCTTGGTGCGTCGCCAAAGTACCTTGCAGCAAATCACTGAATCGCAACAGGGGACGTACTTTCCCAGCAATTTTACTTCATTCATTTACTACCAGTTACCTGGTAATAGGTCCCATATACACAGGTGGACCGCAAACTTCTATCCAAGGAAGGGAGATAGAACTTGCTTGTCCAAAAGGAGGTGGCAGACACCTCAGTGAGAAGAGAACAACACTCTGACACACAACAGTCCAACACCACTCACTGTCCGTGTCACCGAGTAGTAGCCATGACAGATACCCGGCAACTCCTCATCTCTTTCCCAACTGCGTCAATTCATTTCCAAACTCTCATCAACATCGTTTCCATACGTGGCATAGCCATGTGAGTGACATGTGAGTGACATGCGCTTAGCAGCCAACGTAGATAGCTATCATTCACCCGTTAGCCCATGTCCCAACAAAACACCCACAAGAAAAAAAAAAGAAGAGGCAGGAGTAACTCACAGTTGGCAAACAAGGCATAGGTATCAGCATGCTTCAAGTTCTGGCTTCCAGACAATTGGCGCACACAGCTGTAGCCATAGCATCCACTCTGGTCCGAGGTGCCCTGGATCTGGCTCAAGTGGGTGACCTCGTGGAGGGTGGTGGTGGCCTGGTCCTGGGCATGGCACTGGCTGCTCAAGCTGGACAGCGCGCTAAAGTACAGCGGGCAGTTGACCATGAAGCTAGAGCTGGGGAGGGTGTAGGCGAGGACACCAGACGAGCAAGCATTGTAGACGTCGGAGCAGTAGTAGCGGGCGTAGCCGGAGGTGGTGGAGCCGCACTCGTTAGCGACGCGGGCGAAAACGCCGGCGACGGTGGAGCGGGTGTACGAGGACGAAGACTTGAAGTACTCGGTCATCTTGGAGGCGGAACCGGACGAGGCGACCTGGCTGGCGCGGGCGGCGAGAGCGCGGCAGTTGGACATGGCAGTGCGGGTGGCGGAGCCGCGGGAGCCGGTGCAGTCGGACTGCACGATGGAGCGCTTCTCGTGGAAGACGCGGCGAGCCTGGGAGGCAGCGGCGCCGTCGACGGAGGCGGTCACAATGTTGGACGAGTAGGGGAGGGTGCCCTTGAGCTCAGTCGAGTTGACGTGGGCATACTGCAGAATGCCGGCAACCTTGACGTCGAAGGAGCCGCCCTGGGAGAGGTCGTGGACCTCGGCCGAGTCCCAGGAGGTCTCGACGGTCTCGCCGGGGGCGATCAGCTGGAAGGCATCCTCGGGAAGGGCAGAAGTGGCGATGCGGAGGCGGAGACCATCGAAGGCGACGGGGCCGGCTGGAGAGTGTTAGTTTGTTGTGTTGTGTGTTGTGGGGAGCCAAGACAGGGGGATGGGGGTTGCGCGATGCCAAGACTGTGAACTAGTGACGTGAGAAGGCGGTCAAGACTGAGGACTTACAAGCAGAAAAGATCTGGGTCTTCTCAACAGCGGCGTTGTCGAGGATGGAACCAGTCTTGAGGACCTTCAGATGCTCCTTGCCGGTGTTGGTGATGCTGGCCTTGACGTTGGTGTTGTTGACGACCTCGATCTTGACGTCGAGGGGGCCACCGCGCTGAGTCAAGTCAACGCTCATGGCGGAAGCCACGGAGGCAAGGAGGGAGAGACCGGCGAGGAACTTCATTGTTGCGAAGGCTGTTGTTGAGGTGCGAACTGAGTTGTCTGGAGAGCACTGCTGATCTCTTGGTCCGACTCAGAGGGAGGAGGATGCCGCCTTAAATAGGAGTCGAAGTCGACTCTTCCCGGACGCCATGATGCTAAGGTTCGGCCAAACGCCGGCCTTCATCCTTTACCCCCAAAGCCAGACTATACGCAAATAGGAAGATGGAGAAGAGCAGTTGCCGAAGTTGCAGTGTGCCTGGCAGCCGATGGACATCCAGGCGGATGTGGAGACGAGAAAGGAATGTCGTTTTTGCACGTGGCTTCAGATAAGACGAAGTAGTATGACATGAATCAAGGTGCGGCTCTCAATGGTTCCATGGGGGTTCCATGTCTGGTAATGGCAGTTGATGTCTCGGGAAGTTGAATCAAGGCGCATAGTCCCGTGTCTTGTGGGAGTGGGAATTAAGTGTCCCACCGGTTCGGTCAAAGAGTCTTGTTCCTGGCCAGCCATAACTGACGTAGGTACGGAGTCCGGAGTTTGGCAATGGTCGAATATGGGGAATCCCATCCCGCTAGTAACCCACAGTCCACCGGCTAGCTTAGCTTGGAGGCGGTGAACTCATTAACGCCGCAGTAATGCCTCAGCATTTGGGGCAGCTTCCCGCAAATAGTGTATAATAGTCCATATTCTAGCAACAGCTAGGCACAGTCAACGAAAGCGAAATGCGGGCGGTGATGACACAGAAAATTCCGGGGTCGTCAGTTTGTAAGCAACCAAGCAAGGCTAACCCCCCTGCTTGGCGTCGCTCGATCCCGAAGGCTGGGCTGAAGGGCTCGAGACATGGGGCTCTGCCGAAGAGGGTGTCGAGATTAACTCGGTTGGGAAGGAGGTTGTGCTCATGGCGGTTTCAGAGTCGCATGGCAACTGATCCGTTCCTACATGCAATGATTGGAGGGTTTCATTGCTCCATAGTTCTTGTTGCCATCCGGATTTGCGGGGAATTGGACCAGCTCCGGGATTGGAACGGGATTAGAGTTTTGACAGGCCTGAGGCTGATGTCCACCGGTCCATATCATTATCACGGTCGTGAATTTGCTGGATTCCATGATGGGTGTGACTTTGGTTCATGATTTTTCGTCTCTAATGCATGAACATGAAGTCAGTAGGTATTCATCCATATCAGACATCTGTTCACCAAAACCCTACCGTTAAAGACGCCCCTCATCGGATTCCGCCGTTGGTCAGTGCGGTGCACCTCCACTGTCTGAATGTCGATCTCAGCGAGACCTTCCTCCTCTGTGTTTGGCGGAACTTGGCTGCCGACCGGCGATCTTCCCGCAACTCTGTTCCTGATTTCGTCGGATCAATGCCGGATCCTCGTTGCCCTCCCCCATGCCAGGACGAGGTGGCATTCTCGTGTGTTCTTCCCTTCACCTTCCTGATACAGGCTCCATATCCGTAACTGCCCTTTGTGAAGAAAATAGTTGGCTTTGATGTGCAGTCTTTATCACTCTCACGGGAGACTTTGATTGCTCTGGCGGTTCATGGCACAAGTTCGATGCAGTTCTGTGAGCTTGTCGGTTGCCATTCGTGCCAATGGCCGAGGAGATGAAGTTCTCACAATGTTCCTGAGGACGTGGGGTATGGGGAAAGCCTCATTTCCCTTTACCCCTGGGGCTCTCAAGCCCAACTTGTGGGGTGGATGCACGATCGTCATCTGTAATGAAGATGCCTCTTGCGCCTCGTTAGGCCTCATGGCGGTAAGACCAATGAAGAAAGTTTAGCGAGTGGTGATGACCTTGCTATAGAAGATCGATCGTTGTGAGAACAAGGTGCCATAACAGTCGTCCGTGTGACTTGCTCGCTTCCGTTGTGACGTGAGGGTGTCAAGGTTGGTGTGTGTATCGTGTAAGTGACGGTGCAGCGAATCGGAGTTAGACAATGGCTGAAACTGGAGGGCAGAACCAGAAGGGAAGGTGGGGATAGCATTAGCTGGGTCATCGGCTGGGCGGTGCCGAGGTTACAGTGGTGATGGAGCCGGTTGTCTGCCTTGATCCTTGACGTGCATGAAGACATCGTCAAGCGTTCCGTCAGTTGAGACAGCTGGCGCCAAGGCAGATATGAGGACGTGGGATTCTCGTCATAATCTTGACCGCAAGAGAGATCGGACTGCTATGAAAGCCGATGGCCTGCTTGTGTAACATTTCTCAACTTGACATTGTCTTTGAACTGGCATCTTGATAGCTTCCTGTCCTTGAAAGTCTCCGGTGCCGCAGTCTCGCCTTGCTGACCCCGCCCTGTATCCCGACGGACAGGTGATAAAAGCCGAGGTAAGTAACGCTGCGAATAGGTATCTATCGCAGCCACTTGATCTTGCCTTATCTTTGCTGATAGTAGGATGTCAACAGTGCAACATTAACTCTTCCTCAATCAACTCACGATTTAAACGGCTATCATTTCGGACCCAGGGCCATTGTCAGCAATCAGCAAGAACTCACTCTTTTTCAAGCGCATTTTGACGACTTCGGCCGTCAATTTTCTCAAGGCTTCCGATCGTTCGCACCAACCACCACCTCTCAAGATGTCTTCCCAATCCCCCATTCCCCTCTCGCTCTCCATCTCCCAACCTTCGCCCTCCCTCTCTCCGCCCACCGTCCTTCTCACCCTCGCCAACACCTCCCCCGACGTCCCCGTTACCCTGCTCACCTGGTCCTCCCCTCTCGACTCCCTCGCCCTCCAGCTCGGCCTCATCCAAGTCTCCTCCCCCTCCAACCCTGACAACAAAATCGACTTCCCTCAGCTGATGATCAACCGCGCCATGCCTCCGCCCGAGGATGCGCTGGTCACTTTGGGTCCCGGAGAAGAGAAGAGTCAGGAGGTGGTGTTGAGGGAGCCGATTGTCGATGGAGATAAACTCAAGGAGTTGGCGGAGGAGGGAAAGGTGGGGGTTAGGGTTGTATGTGGGAAGGACAAGGAGGAGGAGGAGGAGAGCGGGGTCGTGGTTTGGGTGGGGAAGAAGAGGGAGGAAGTTAGTCCTGAGGAGGTTGAGATGCTGGGAAGAGGAAAGGAGGCCAAGAGGTGGAAGGTTGAGAGTGAGGTTTTTGGGATGAAGGTTGATGGGGCGTGATGGGTTTGTTGGTGTTGCACTTTCGAAAGGAAGAAGAAAAGGAAAGGAAAAGATGAGGGGTTGGTCTGTGCCTGACGGAGGGCGATTGGATTGGTGCTGGCGACCTAGGGTTGGGGTTCAGTGTGGCAGGAAGCAATCAGACCTGGGGATGCTGAAGATGATGGCTGACGCGAAGATTGAGAGGGTGACATTATTCGATGAGATTGGCAGAACAAAGCGTGGAAGGCAGCAAGCTCAGTGTTTTCTTGCAACAGACAGAATTGACAGCGGGGAAGAAACCATGTCTTTGTCATCCCAAGACACAAACGGACAACAACAGCTCGGGTTAGGGTTCAACTTGTACTACTGTATACTACCACGCCGTACCAACGAGGTACACAATGTTGATGAATTACAATGAAACAAACATGTCTACCCGAGACAGAATTGCCTTGAGTGTCGGCAGTGGTCCATGTTCATCCACACGCCCTACCAGGCACGCTGTGGTGTACAAGTAGGTGGGATGATCAGTACCCCCCATGTTCCCCGCCCCAATGACCCCTTTGATGGTCAATATAATGTCGTCATGACTTTCTGTAAGTGGTACAGCCATCGTCAGCACCATCAAGACGTAAACAAAACCGATCAGGAACCATGGTATTTAGATCGGACGAAACACTCCGTAGGCCAATTGCAGCTTCGCTTTTGAATTTCACTTCTTGTCAGCATCTCAGCTTCCCCGCAAACAAAATATGTAGATCCATCAAGGTACTTGACTTCCTCCTCCTCCTCATCATCATCTGAAACAATCTCTCGTTTGTTTACTTCCTTTGCCAGTCCGTCACCACACAACAACGCGAGCAATTCACACATCTCTCCCTTTCCCTTCCACATACTAAGAGATGGCTATTTTCGCATCAACTTGCCAGAGACAAACCACTCGATTTTTGACCAGAAACGCCGTGTCTGGCCGCATTCCCGCATTCTCTGCGACTCGTGACGTCACCGCAGCAACCCCATTCTCTTATAAGAAGTTGAGGGGAAGCACTTCTACCCGCACCATCACCACCCAAACACAGCCACCAGCATCTGTCCCTCAGACTCGTACAGCTATCCCTCGTTATCAGGCACTTTGTCCAGTACAGGCCGTCACTCCTAGGTATGTCTTTCCTACCTCTAGGTACTCTAGGTAACAAACATCAATGGCCTGTCTAACCCAGACTTCTCCCCCCAGACACACCTTCGCAACCATGACCCAAATCAACACGGAACCCTACCGTTCCATGCAAACCTCGGGCTCCACCGAGCCCGTCTGGACACACAAACTGCCATGGTCCCAGATCCCCGAGTTTCCCTCCCTCGACAAAGACCTCGAAACCGATATCGCCATCATCGGCGCCGGTATCGCGGGTATTTCCACCGCCTACGAGCTCGTCAAGCGCGGCAAGCAAGTCACACTCATCGAGGCCCGCAACGTGCTTTCAGGCGAAACCGGCCGCACCTCGGGCCACTTGACCAACGATTTAGACGACGGCTTTCTGGAGATTGCCAAGAAGCACGGCGAGGACGGCGCCAAGCAGGCGGCTGCTAGCCATGCGTGGGCCAGAGACAGGATCGGGGAGATTGCCGAGGAGTTGGGCATTGAGTGCGAGTATCGCCGGTTGCTGGCGTACGATATCAGCCAGTTCCCCGTGGGCGAGAAGAAGCATGAGGATGAGTTGGAGGAGTTGAAGGAGGAGGCGGAGTATCAGAGGAAGATTGGGTTGGAGACGAGGTTTGATGTGCGTCCCTTTTCCCGTTCTTCTCCCCCTTGATGAAAGGCAACGAAGCTAACACGAGCGTGGTCCGGACAGCCCAACCTGACAGTCCGCGGCTGGACCTCCTCCATCGACCAACGCGGCGGCATGGTAGCCGACAACCAAGCCACCTTCCACCCCACCAAGTACCTCGTCGGCGTCCTCAACTGGCTCAAGACCCAGCCCAACTTCCAATGCTACGCCCGCACCCGCGTCATGGACATTAAAGAAAAAGGCATCGAGCTCTTGGGCATCGGCCACAAGACAGTCGAGATCAGCACGGAAGGAGGCCACACCATCAAAGCCGAAAACGCCATTGAAGCCACCTGCGTCCCTCTGCAAAAGCTCTCAGTCATCATCCAGCTCGAGTTCTATCGCTCCTACTGCATCGCCGTGCGCGTGCCCAAGGGGTCTATCGAGGACTGTCTGCTCTACGACAATGCAGAAGCGTACAAGTACGTGCGCCTAACCGCCTGCGACGAAAAAGACGATTACCTCGTTGTCGGCGGGTGTGACCACAAGGTCGGGCAGGAGGAGACGACCCCCCGCTTTGACGAGCTGGAGAAGTGGACAAGGGAACGGTTCCCGCAGGCGGGGAGCACCGACTATAAGTGGTCTGGCCAGATTTTCGAGCCGGTCGATTACATGGGGTATATCGGCAAGAACCAGGGGTGTGACAAGATTTATATCGTTACGGGTGACTCGGGCGATGGGTTGACGCATGGTGTGTTGGCGGGCAGATTGTTGGCGGATGAGATTGACGGGGTCAGGAGGAATCCGTGGGCGGAGCTGTACAGTCCCAAGCGCGTGGGGAGCATGCTCAAGAGTCTGCCGAGTATGGTTACGCATGATTTGCAGATTAATACGCAGTATAAGCGGTTGGTGCAGACGGATATTGACGATATTGAGGATTTGCCGAGGGGGTGTGGTGGTGTTTTGAACAAGGTGTGTGTCTTTCCTCTTTTTCTTTTTTTCGAGAATGATGCTGACGAAAGACAAAAAAAATAAACAACAACAGGGCACCAAGAAGCCACTTGCTGTCTACAAGGATGAGAATGGCAACGTCAAGCAGTTTAGCGCTTTCTGCCCCCATCTCAAGGGTGTCGTGTGCTGGAACCATGTTGAGAAGAGCTTTGATTGCCCCGTGCATGGTTCGCGCTTTTCCAAGGAGGGGATTTGTGTGATGGGGCCGTCCAAGGCGGGTCTGGCGCCTGCTGATGAGGCGGGTGAGAAGGAGCAGGTTGCTGCTGCTGCTGCTTAGTTGTCTTTGTATGTGTCTATGATGGGTAACTTGAATTCATGATGCTATGGGATTGATGAACTATGATGGTCATCCAGTTGATTCTGCTACAAGCTCTCGTGTCTCGAGCTGACTGGTCCATAGAAGAACTGCTCTCACTAATGTCCGGTACTGCATGCATCAAACAAATAGTAAACGCTTCAGTGATATCCCATCTATAACCTGGAAAGAAAAATCAACCATCTCAAGGCATCCAACACATCATCCATCCATTGTCGTCCCATCCCCATCATCACCACTGAGTCCCTTCCCTCTTACACAGAAACAACCTTTTCATTTCCCGAACTCGTCTCCCCCATCTCCTGACCAACCCCTCTTTCCCTCTCCGCCCTCAACCCAGGATTCACCTTTTCGGAATGACTCATCCACGGAAACCACACGCCCGGCGCAAACGCCGTAAACAGCACACAAGCAATCAACACCATGAAACTCTCCAGCACCACAAAACTCGGCTCATCCTGCATGATCTCGTTTCCCCAGCCGCCCGCCATCTCCGCAATCCGATAAATGCACCGAATCAACAACGTCGCGTACCCGCCCGCCATGGCCCAGAGAAACATTCTCGTTTTCTTATCTTGCCACGTCTGTTTTTCCATGGTTGTCTCGGACAAACTACCAAAGTACTTTTTGGCACGAAGCAGAAAAATACTAGATAGACCCCCGAATGCCCCCAGCACGACGACTTGGAGGACGATACCGGCTATAATGACGCGGTTACCGTGTTGCAGAAGAGTGTAGTTATCTTTGCCGGCCGAGGCGGCGATGCCTCCGCCTATGGCTTGGATTACCAAGCAAGAAACGTCGGCGGGGACGAAGAAGAGAGGATAAAAGCGCGGGCGGAAGGGGGATAAGGATGGAGACAAAGAGGCGATGATGTGTTTGAGGGTTAGGTAGAGGCCGATGCAGATGAGGGTGGGGCCGAGGATGATGGAGACGATTTGGGTCTTGAATGCGGAGCCGTTCCAGGGGTTGAGGGAGAGGAGGGCGCGGGATGCGTAGCCTTTTGGATCTGTTAGTTTTTTTTTGGTTGGTTGGGGTGATAATAAATGGGGGGCGATCATGGAAATGGGAAAGGAAAAGGGATGGGAGGAGGGAAAGGAAAGAAAAGACATACCAGCACACTCCAAAATACACCCCGCTGTGATGGCGATAGAGTAGCCCCACGTTCGCTTCCAGATACCCGTGGCAAGCGTTATAATGGCACACAAACCGAAGCCGATGGCCAAAAAGATGTTGACGCCTTGGTTGGGGTAGTAACCGAGGGTGGTGTATTCGACGCGGCAGATGGCCGTCACTTTGGTGCAGGTGTCGTACCCCGGATGGAATTGGGGTGTGGAGGCCGGTAGGCCGGCCGGGGCTGTTGTAGACATTGTGTGGGTTGTTCGATTGCGATGGATTATTATAGAAGTGGTGATCCCGTAGTGTACATCGGGGTTGAATCGGGGCCCCGGAACGGAGAGGTGGAGACGAGAAAGCAATCGGCGCCGGCCCGGAGGATTGGTGGAGACGGAATGTGGTGTCGGGACTGGCGACCTCGACCTGAATATCGGGTTGTACAAAATGATATGCAAGATCAAATGCGACTCGATTGATCCTGAGTGAGTGTTTTCGTCGGTGGTGATACAACCAACCCCGCCAAAAATGTAAATTGAAAAAAAGCCACAAAGAGAAATCCCGAGAAGAGTAGAGAGTCGGGAGGGAGAAGGAAGGGAACGGGCTTGGGTTTTAATCTTGCACTTGTCCTCCTCCCAAAAACTCAGAAAAAAAAAAAAACAAAGCTAGACCCAGCAAACGAAGGAAGGGCGGCAACGGGCCAAAAGCTATCCGTGATGCCGTAGGTCCGTCGGCGTCAGACACAGCCGCGTCTACATGCCTACATATGTACACTACTGCGTCCGATGTACATGCTTGTTTGGTGGGGGGTGCGTCGGATAGAAATGATGCCGATTGGCTGGACACAGCTCACCTCCGAATAGATACACGCCACTAGAAGGGAGTGAGCATCGATGATCCCCTTTGAGTTAGTTGGTGGTTTGTCATTTCCACCTCCATTACAATATAATACTGGTATGTTTGTTAGTTTGGTTCTTCAGCCATGGGTTGAACAGGGGAGATATAGAGCTTTTATTGGCTTCCTTGGAGTTTTCGTTTGGAGAGACCAACAATGACCAGGGTGTAATACGCCACAAATGCCTCTTTTTATACCTCCATCCGTCTCCTAAAAACCTCCAAGCATAGGAAAATATAAAAGGGTAGTCCCCATCTAGTACCTATCTGTTTGAAAATCACTGGAAAATCGAACGCTTCTTCACTTTCGGGGGCTCTCGAGTGGAGATGGGCGTTTTTTGTACCAAACTAACAAACATACCAGGGTTAGATTGTACATACCCAACACTCCTTCATTACGAGAGAAGCCGAAGACCGGTGAGGACTTACACTTGCTTTTGTAAGAAAAAAAAAAAAAGAAGTGTGTCGGTCTCACAATCATGACAACCGAATTGCCGGAAGGTGATGGCTGTCTCTGATAACGGTCTTCTAGAAGGTTTCACAGGACCTACATGGCACTTTCAGCCCTACGCTAATTGCCAACAAAAAAAAAGAAGAAAGATCGTCGGGCCTGTTTGCCGCCTGGGCGTGCTGACTTGCGACAGGGCAGAGTGAGAGCTCAGCTTCCCTTGCTTTGTCATCAGCAGCTTTATTGTCGGCGGGACCATCGCTGAGTGAGAACTTTGGACGGACTGTCTGGCTAGCACCAAGGTGACTGTTAGCTATGCGACTGGACTTCATCTGATGGCAAATTCATACATGTTACCTTAGCTTGGCGAGACCGAGAGGCAACGAGGACGACATACATACACGGCAAGTTGGTGACCCACCCTCTCATACCTACCCAAAATGACGGACTTGCCGTCTGGGATTGGTCCGATCCGGCGGGCGCACCGAAAGAGTCGGACGGGTTGTACGGCGTGCAAGGCCCGCAAGATCAAGGTATCATCAATCCCTTTTGGCACGACATGACATGACATGACACCGTATTGACCCTTCTCCAGTGCGACGAACACCACCCGTCATGCATCAATTGCATTTCCCACGGGCTGCAATGTCCCTTTCTGTCCATGAAAGCAAACCTGCCGCCTAGAACCAGACCCAGGCCACAGTCGTCGCAAACACAAAGTCCCATCACCCAGTCCCAGCTTCAGTTCCAACCACCATCGCCACTTTCACCGGCACCCCCCCCACATGTCGAACCTCCACCATCATTATCATCATCATCATCATCGTCATCACCACACGGCATTCCCACTTACTACCCCAACCCAATAATCGAAAACAATGACGACAATGACGACGACCCCCTTCCCACCCTTCACCTCCTCCTCCTCCTCCACAACTTCACCTCCTCAACCTACCTGACCCTCACCACCGACCCCACCGTCGCCAACTTCTGGCGCACCTCCGTCGTCGATCTCGCCTTCTCCCTCTCCTCCTCATCCCCCTCGTCCTCCTACCTCCTCCGCGTCCTGCTCTCCGTCTCGGCCCTCCACCTCGCCTTCCAGCAATCATGTCCCCAAAAGCGAGATTTCTACACCGCCCAGGGCATCCTGCTCCACCAAAAAGCGACCAGAGAAGCCATGAGGAGGATGCTACCCGTCATAGAACGGGACGAGGACGAACTGGGCTTGTACCTCTTTGCGAATCTGACCATCTATGTCGCGCTTGCAAGCCCGAGGGGCAGGAGGGGCGATGGGAGTGTCTATGTTTTGGATCAACACGAGCAGAGAAGGCATGCCGAGAGTAATGGGCTGAGCAATGGCGATAGAAAAGGGGGTCTTGAGGGCCCGGCTACGGGATTGGGGTCCGAAGCGGGCATGGGCATGGGGATAGGCACGGCAGGCGGTGGACTGAACTTTCCCGATTGGGCCTTCCTCGTCAACGGCCCCAAGTCGCTTAGCAACTTCATCATGAACAATGAAGCGCATCGAGAGTTTCTGAAGCCTTTTTTGGCGTATGGAGGGAGGAGGTGGAAAGAGGCGAGGGGCGAGTCGTCGGATTCTTCTTGCAGCGCTTCATCGTCCAATACCGGGACACCGAACCCCCCATCTGGCGCTGGGTCCACCAGCTCCGGCTCCGGAACGTCAACCGAACAAAAGAGAACGACTGAAAGTAGGAGCGGGATACCCAAGCCTCCCGGACCGCTGGCCCATCTCCGCGAGCTCATCAGCAGAGACACTGCCAATCCTCACCTTCACACTTATCTTTTCGCCATTGACGAACTAGAACTGTCGCTCACGCACCTGACTTGTTCTTCCCCGACTTCGCCATCCGCGGCCACTGCCACGACCACATCCTCACCCCGCACAATCACCACAACGACCCCAACCCTCACCACATGCGCCGCCGCCGCCGCTGATGACTCCCCAACCTCTCACTCCAACTCAAATACCCAAGGAGGTGACGTCCTAGACGCCATGCTCTGGCTCTGGGCCGTGTCTGACTCGCTCGTCCCGCTACTCAAGATTCCCACCCAAGAAGCCGTAGCCATCTTTGCCCATTTCGGCATCTTACTCAAACACCATGAGCGACAGTGGTGGTTGCAGGGGTGGGGAGATCATTTGATCATGAGAGCCAAAGATATTTTGGATGAGGAACATGCAGGGTGGATTCGGTGGCCTTTGGACGTTTTGGAAGGGGACCACGGCATCATCCATCATGAGAGGTGACGCGAACGCGAAAGAGACAGGGTGTGAAAATGGTTGAAAGAGTGAGTTTCAAGGGCTATCTATGGAAAGAGGGGGTGTCAAAGGGAAGGGGGGAAAGGGGGGAAAAGAGAGTTCAGCTGTTCATGTGATTAGTCGTAGTGGTATTGAGCAGCTGTTTGACGCAGTTTAATCTGATAAGGAATTAGGATCTCGGGATAACTGAGCAAAGGCAGACCGGAGTTTCATGTGCTGGAAATATGAGTGGGTATTTGCTTCCACTTGGCTCCTTTGATTTCTCATGCATCAATCTGAATCTGGAAAGCACTCCTTTTTATTCGCTCCTGGTCGAACCTCGCAGGGCAGTCCATTATACTATCTTGGTCTTTCAAGCTCTCACTTGAAGAATCTCTCTGATCTCACCGACTGAAGGAAAACGCAACGCAATCTGGTCCTCATGCCATCCATCCTTCCACTGTCTCTTCTGACGCACCAGACTTTCATGTAGATCAGTAAATGTTTGACACCCGTAAGCTGTCAACTGTTAAGAAATGCAGTCATGATCCCGAGAGATCCTCGAACCCATCGAGTCTGTGATAAGAAGCATATACCTACCATCCCCTACCATCCCCTACCATGCAGCCATCCATCCATTTTATCCTTCAACTCCTTGACTTCCCCCTTTACCCCATGCTTCTTCACACTCACTCCTCATCCCCACCAACCCTCAACCTCCACATAGGAACCACATCCTCCAACACCCCCTTCCTTCTGTGACTCTCCCCGTTTCCTCCGCCCTCTGCACCCTCACCATCCCCATCAACCACCACCGGCCCACCAACCCCCAAATCAAACCGTCCCCCGATGCCCCCCTTCCCACCCTTCCCACCCCCCGGCGCATTCGGATTCGTCTTCCCCTCCACACACCGCCTACACCACGCCGCCGGCCTCACCACCACCTTGAACGGATTATACACCCGCTTCGCCCACCTCTCCTCATCAAACACCTCGTCACACGCCTCACACCGATCCGGATGCTGCGTCTTCCGTGTATGATCCAGTCTACTACACGTCGGTCCAAAGTGTTTAGCTTTGAGCTCCTCCACGTCGCCTCCGCCGCCCGGCACGTTGCCAAGTTTGATCGTCGTCGGCGGCATGAAACTACTGGAATTGTCGCCTAGTTGGACTTTGAACACGTCGGTGCCCAACATGGGGCACTGGTCGACTACTTGGCGGAGACCGGGGAGGCGAAACAGACGGTCGCGGCCGGCCCAGAGGAAGGATGCAAGTAAAGAGTGTAGTTTGGTGCTTTCGGAGACGCCCGAGTAAGCCTGAAAGATGCCGGAGAAGAGGTCGTTCGCGTAGGATTGGGGGGATAAGAGGGGGTCTGAGTGGTCGATTACGCCGGAGCGGCCCGAGGCGGGGACCGAGTAGGTGCACAGGAGGAGGAGCTTGGTGTCGAGGTACTGCCCTAGTAAGGTAATGCTGTCGCGGCAGAGGAGGGGGATGCGGAAGGTGTGGCCTAGGTTGTAGAGGGTTACGTAGGTGGTGATGGGCGAGGCGAGGGAGGAGGGGCGGGTGAGGTTGTCGTCGAGGGCTGTGAGCGACAAGTTAGCAAGCATGTGGATGACATGGTGACAAGAGGCAAGACTTACAGTCAGCATACATGAACCTCAGCATGGTTTCAATGTCGTCCGCGTTTTGCTCGTGGAGGTTGATCTCGCTGATTTGGCCTGTCTGTTTACCATCAACTTGTCAGCAACTCCTTTCAACCTCTTCCCCCCCCCTTGTCATCGCCCCGGAACCCAGTAAACACACTCACCCCATCACTACCAGCAAACGCCTCCCTGAACCACGCACTCCGCGTGCTCAATCTCATCTTATGCACCTTCCACTTCTTCTTGAGACAATGGATGGTAGCGTCGGAGAACTCGCCTGTTCCGAGGAGACTGTTTTTTTTTCCCACCATCGATGTTAGCATTGTGTTTATGTTTCCACCTGCCATTCTATAAAGGAGATAGGGGCAAAAAAACATACTGCAAATCATTCTCCTTGTGCCGCCGATTAATCTCCTGCCCATCCACACTCCACCCTTTCTTGCCGACACTTGTTCCTGGCCCTGCTGCACCTTTATTACCTCCTGCCCCTCCCGCAGCCGCCGCCGCCCTCACCACCTGCTTTGGGCCAGGCCCAGAGCCTGCTCCTGAAGTCGAAGCCGAGCCCGCTCGCAAAGCTTCAAAAGCTCTCAATGTCGCCGCGATCCCCTCGGTTGAAGCAACTTTCCGCTGTTTACTGGCTCGCCCATACGCATCAGAATCAGCATCATCATCATGATCAGGGTCAGTATCAGCATCAGCATCAGCGATGCTAGCGGCACTAGCAGTGCGTTTTCTGGCGGGAGTAGTGGAGGATGAAGCGCTAGATGTAGAAGCACCGCCTCTACCTCTGCCTCTACCTCTACCTGTACCTCTGCCTCTGCCTCTACCTCTGCCTCTGGTGTTGGTGGTTTGGCGGGTAGCAGCAGTGGCGGAAGCAGGACCAGGGCCGGGGCTAGGGCTACGGCTGGGGCTGGGGCGGTTAGCGGTAGCAGTAGCAGTAACAGGACGGTTAGCGGTAGCGACGATGATGGGAGATGAGGGTGCGGCTGGAGGCGGGGAGGTGGTTGAAGCTTTGGCGGTGTATGTGATGTTAGTGTTATCGTTAGCAGCAGCGGCCGTGGCTGCAACTGATGCAGTTGATGCAGTGGTAGCCGTGTCGGTTGCGTCTGCGTTCTTCTTGGGACGGCCGCGAGGACGAGCGGTGCCGGTGCCGGTTGTGGTGGTGGGAGTTACTTCCGCTCCGTTCTGAGTGTTGGTGGTCGGGGTAGCTTTCGCGGCAGTGGTCTTGGGAGTAGCTTTGGGTGTAGCTTTCGCAGTAGCCTTAGTAGCAGCAGCAGTCTTCGGAACAGCAGGCGTCTTGACAGTCGCTGCCTTCTTAGCAGCAGCTGGCTTCCTGGCTGTAGCGGTGACCTTCTTGGCCGGGGGTGCTTTTGCAGCGGCTGTGGATGTAGTGGCACCGGCAGGTGTAGTGGCCACGGTGATGCTCTCGCTAGCGGCAATGGTCGCAGCTGTAAAACCGCTTTGGGCTGCGGGTGCGGCCTGGGGTATGGCTTGAGGTATGGTCGTCATACTGGGAGCCTCAGCCGGCTCGGACTTGATGCCGAGAGGCCTGTTGGGATCCATGCTGGCGGTGCCTGATGGAGGAAGTAAGGGAAGAGGACTGGTAAAAATTGGAAAGCGTGGGTTCAAAATGAAGGTTCCTGGACCTGGACACGGGTTAGTCGATGTTGAGTGTAAGGTGGCTTGGATTTTGTCAGAGGGGAGCATAATTTTTCAGATCGGGTTGAGTACGGGATCGAGTGAAGGTATACCGGAAGAAGATTGAACGGGGAGAAGAAGATTGAACGGGGAGAAGAAGATGGGTAAAAGAGGAAAGGAAGGAAATGGGGTCTTGGAGTGGATTTATACCTGTAAAAGAAGAGATAATGCTGAAAGATCATACGAGTCTTCTTCGTGGAAGTCCAAGACCAAGGCGTGATGGAGGAGGAAGAAGGCGTGGAGGACAAGGGAGGAGGTCTGGAGAAGATGGGGTTGAGGTCGAGAGACGAGACTTTATACCTGATGACGAGAGGGGTCGAGGTGGTGGGTGAACCTGGAAATGTCTGGGCTCATCAAAGTCGTTTGCAGTACGTGGCTTGGACTCATATGTTCCTCATATCATCCGATAATGTATTTCAGATCGAGGTTGAGGCCTTCTGACTGGCCTGAAGGGAATAGAGAGTTGACGAAAGGGGGTGAGGACGACGGGGAAGGCAAGATATACGGTCGACAAGGGCCAATGGTGGGAGTGATATGGAGTGTGGTAAAACAAACAATGCCTCAGGTCCTCTAAAGTGCGTAATCTCTTTTCTTTAATCGGATGTAAAAGGGATGGAAATTCATGACTGCTTTCAAGGTTTGGAAAATGGTTTGCGGCATGGGAGGAAGGGCAGTGAATGCCCTTGTCGATCAAAGGTTTGTCCAAGGCGCTTTGAAGTGAACACGACGAGACGGTAAAGGTGTCCAGAGATGCCAACGATTATTCGACGACCATATGTGGTCCGAAGAAAGGATGCTGAATTTATCAGCAACGCCATGTGCATTTTCTTCAACTGAACCGACCCTCATCCAACACCATCATTACCTCCCAATATTATTCACAACACTCCCCACCATAACCGCAACCTCCCTCTCCCACCGTCCACTCTTTTCCCCATCCTGCATCTCATCATTCTTCCCCCTATCTCCGGTTGCCGCCCCCGCCACCGCACTAGGCAACACACAGCCCTTCACCACACACTCCTTGATCGCCTCCCCGACACTCTGCCTATTCGTTCTCAGCGTCCTCGCCGACACTCCTCCCTTGTTCATAATCTCCTGCACCCTCGGCGCCAGATTGCTCGCCATCGTTCTCCAGAAGTAACTCGCTAATGAGCCGGTTTCCAAGTACGCCAGCAAAGGTGGAAGCATGTTTCCTCCTGTCTTGGGCGTGGCTTGCTGCCCCTGGACCAACGGGTGAGAGGGGATTTTGGTGGCTTCTAGCACGGCTTCCAAAGCGACCACGTTTTGGCAGCGGGCTGTTACATCTGCTAGTGTGCGTTCTAGCGAAGGCAGGGTGGCCAGGGCTCGGGACAAGGACGCGGTAGAGGATTGCAGAGCGGTACGGAGGTAGGATTCGAGAGATTGGAGCATCAGGGTTGGCGACCACTTTTCGTTCTTGGCGAGGGTGGTTGGCGACAAGAGGTAGAGCGTTGTTAGGCCGGAGACAGTTCGCGCTCTGGTTTCTTCGGACTGGGCAAAGGTCAAGGTGCCCGACGCAGATCCCATGGAAAACTCGCGGATGATGCGCTCGGCGGATTCACGGACGGACCGCTCGGTGGGGAGGTAGACGTTGTCGCGCAGAGTGCGGATGACGGCAACGCGCTCGATGCCGTAACCTTCGGAGCCGGGCACGTTGGCGGTCGAGAAGAGTTCGCGGAGAGACAAAAGAGTGTGGGCGCATCGAACCAGGGCGCGATGGTCTTCTTTGCTGCGAAGACTGGCGGAGGAGGTGGTGACGGTTGTCGAGGCAGAGCCTGTCAGTTCGGCATGTTGGACTTCAAGCTGGCGACCGAGTTGGAGAGCACGACCTACTGCTCGGCCCAGCTTGAGGGTTTCCCAGAGACGGGAGGCCACAAGACGGACTTCTTCGGCTTCGGCATGTTTCTGGATAACCTCCTTTTCGAGCTGTTTGTAGCTGTCGTTGAGGGCCTTGATCTGGGTGTCGAGTTCCCCGACGATACGCCCGCTGGCTTCGGTCTGTTCTTGAGTATGTGTGAGGAGCGGGATGGCGGATCGGGTGGTGAGAACGTCGATGTGGGAGTCGATCTCCTGGATGTCAAAGAGGACGCGTGATAGGGGCGTTGAGAGGTCGAGGGGCGCATCGTTGGGGTTGTTGGTCGCCAGCACGAGCGTGTTTGCGAAGGCGGCGGGGCTGAATCCTGGGTCGAGAAAGGTCTCGTAGTCGATGTAGGACGGCTCGTCGTCGTTGGCGACACTCATTGTAACGGCTGTCGTGTATACGTGTATCTTGTGTGTATGTGTATGTGTGGTTGTGAAGATGCCCCGGGTCTGAAGACGGAGATGGACGGGATCGGAACGGGGTCGAGATGTTGCCCGACCGGAGGTGTTGTCGAACTTGTCGGGTTCCCGTCGCGCGCTGTCTGTCGGAGGTACCTAGGTCTACCTCTAGGTGGCCGGTTCCAATTGGATTCTTGCCCTGAAAGCCCAAAAGGTTACAGTGGACCTGTAACCGAACACCGAGGCTAGGTAGCGGCAGGGGCAGGTGGAGGGCAGTGGAGGGAGCCCCGCCAGTGTCCCCGCATTCGGGGCTCCACTTCCACTTGGTGAGGTCATCGCGAGAACATTGTTTCCGAAAAGTGTTAACAGAGGTGTCCCTGTTCACAGCCCCAGCAGCCCTAACCACTGTTAGGCAAGCCCCGGCAGAGCCCCAGGGTGGTAGTGGGTGCGCTGCCCGGGCCGCGAATGAGTGTCGAGATTACAGCTCTTGGCCCCTGGGCGAATCATCCATCGATGTGAAGCTCGAATCGTGATCGCGATCCCGACTGGAAATCCGTCACCGGTTCCTGGTTTTTGGGCCTTGGTCCGGTCGCTTTTTTTCTTTTTCCCCTCTCAGTCGGCGACTTTTATTTTCTTCATTCTCTTTTTCCTCACTCTACAAAAATGACCAACAGAGGACTCGTGGATTCTCGAGGCTGACGACCACCACCACCACCACATTGCGCGCCATCCACACGCCATCGTCCTATCGCCAGCTCCATCTCCATTTCTGACCCAGTCCAAGACATAATCTCAGATCTAGATCTCACCACCTCCGGTCCCCGTCGATCCCCGTCCTTCCGACTCTTCCGCCTTACATACTAACCTCTAGTTCCCACCTTCGATTTACCCGACTCCATCTTCCCCAGCTTTTCTCCTCTGATGGTCCTCCACTTCCATTTGCGACGACCGCGAGAATGACCATCGACATCCGCGACATCCTTGCCTGGCCCGGCGGCGACAACTCGACCGACACCGTCCTCTCCGGGGTCCACCTCAACCTCACTGCCCTCGAGAACTGGAACTACACTCTATACTCCAACGGCACCCTGTCCAACGGCACAAAGTGTTACCTTACCTTCGAACCGTATGCGCCAGCCCTCATCTTCCCCAATGGTACCTTTGTCAACGCCACACAGTGCTGGCATCCCGTCTATCCCATCGGCGCCCGTGCCGGCACCGGCCTGGGTTTCGCCGTCGCATTCGGCCTGGGTCTCGTCTTGACTCTGGTCGCCTTGAACAAACATGGAAAGCTTCACCTGCCCTCGGAGAAACGATTCCATCCCATCGGTCGCAGATGGCAGTGGTACTGGGCCATCTGGACTTGCGCCACCGCTTTGATCAGCCTGTTCACGAATATCGATGTTGACCGATATTATCTACCCGAGATTCCTATTGTGCTTACCTGCTTCTTCTGGTATTTAATGCAGATAGGTGCCATTGCTTGCACATGGGAGGCAGTCAGACATTGGGGCAGCTGGAAGGAAAGACAGTTCATCGATCCGGATCCTTTCCGCCTTCGCCAGGAAGGCCGTCGCTACTGGGTCGAGCTTATCATTCCGCTGTTTGCGTATCTATTCATGTGGTTGGTATGTCATAGTAGCCATCTTGTCCTACCCTACACCTTCCAGCTAACCGTTGTTCGCAGAACTTCTTCATCGTGGTCCCTCGCTCCTGGACCAAAATCGAACACCAGCGCTACCCCGAGCAAATCATCACCGACGCCAAGCCGACCGCCACCGACGACCGCTTCAAGTCCGCTCCCTTCTTCCTCTTTACCACCTGGCTGATCACCGTCTTCTCCCTCTGGCACTCCATCAGACACTACTGTCCGCGCAACCGGGGCATCATCAACCGCACCATCGGCCTCTTCAAGTTCACGCCCACCCGCTTCATGCTGATCATCCCGCTCGCCTTCATCGTGCCCTTGTACCAAGCCATGGCTGCCTGGAACTTTACTTGGAGTCCGCTCAACATCAAGGGAAAGCCCGAGGCTATCTACCCGGGAGGATATGCGCCCTCGTTGCTTATCGTGCTCATCCAAGCAATCTACGGATTGGCCTCACCGAATGAAGACCGCGAGCTGATCCGCCAGCGCCGCGAGCGCGGCCAGATTCTTGACGCCGAAATGGGTATCCAACGTAAACCAGCCTGGTGGCGCCGCGTCAACGAAGCCCCCGCCCCGAACATGACCATGCGCGACAGAATCATGCGCAACGTACGCGAGATCGGCGGCGGCGGTCCTACCGCTCGGAACCTCAAGGACTCCATCCACACGCGCGCTGCCGAATCCAAACCTCGCCCAACACCGAATGGTCCAGCAAGTCCCGGCGATGTCGAGATGGTTAGCATCCCCTCGCCTGAGCATGTCGTGGGGGTTACTGGACCGATTGCGCCAGGAGACTTTGCTGCGGCGAGACAGACGGCGACGAGGTATGCGAATATGACGCCTAGCGCGGCGAGTAGGCAGGCGGAGTTGATGATGGATGGGCCGCGGGAAACAGTACCCCCACCACCGCCGTATTCGGATCGGCCACCGGCAGTGGGAGAGACGGGGAGGAATGATAGTGTGGCGTCAATGAGTCCAAGTATTAATTCGCCGCCCGCGCAGATTAGGAGTATGCTCGATGTATGAGGATGGTGATACGAGTTTGGATAACAAATGAATGGACTAAAATACAGATGTGGGAGAAGAAGATACCAGTTTGCATTCATTGTCGATGTTATACGGTACATATGGGCATACGCGGCCGCGCAGGCCTTGGGAAAAGAAAAAAAAAAAGGTGGTTGGACTGGCCACAGACACGCTTCCCCCTCCATGCTTGAAGCAGGAAGGATGATGACAGGACATACCAACCTATCCACGATCATATTTTCGAGAGAGAGGGGATACACGAGACAAAGAGTGAACGACCAGGAAAACGTTATAACGGTTAAGACAGGCGGATCTGAGTGAAGATAATCTCCTCTTCATTGTATTCGTTCTTGTACCGAACATAATCTTGTATAGTTGTAGTAGTATTTACTAGTCATTGTCATCTAACGACCAAGATAATCACCCCTTTACACAAGCTGTCGAGTATACATACCCCTTCGGTAACTTGCTGGTTTCCCATTCTACTCGTACGTCTCGAACCGTTCTATTCGTCCTTGGCAGTCTACCCACTACGCCAAAACCACACTTTCTTTCCGTGCCGGTGCCGACTATCTTGACATTGTCCGGGCGCGCCGAGCCGGGATAGCTTCCGTGATGTCCCTTCCCTCCCTTGGGCCAGCCAGCTAGCCAACTGTTGCCGAATTCCGAACTGCGTTCGTTGGCTTCCATCTGGATCCTTCTGTCGGTCAGCCGGTGACTGCTGGCCCCCATCTCTTTGTTTTCTATTTTGGATCCAGAGGTACTAGTAGTCTACATAGTAACACATCGATGGGTACCATATCGTATGTGTGGTACCTAAGAATATTCTGGACGAAAGTTCAAAACATGTAAGCCGTTTCATTACCTAATTGCTTTATCTCAAAGCTACTTCTTTATTATCCTTCATACAGGGTGTGGCTGTCTGTCGTTCACGGCATAGATGTTTGTTCTTTTGCTTGGCGATATATTGATGCTTGGCGATAGGTAGGTACCTAGGTAGGTACTGGTACCCGATGTTATGGGGTAAAGCCAAGTTATAGTAGCCGACTATACCTACTTGGGCCAAGCAAGTACTGCAGTACCTACCTACCTGTCTGCGTGTAGTTCCTTCCTTCCTTGGTTGTCATTCGTCCTTCTTCAATTACTTTCCTACCTACCTCCACCTCTACTGTATCTTCCACTTTGTAGTTAGTTTGTTGTTTTCACTTGACTCCATTTGTTTGTCCGCCTCTTTTTCTGTTTTCACCAACTACCGATACAGGTACAGACACGGCAGTTGTACTTACTCACCAGGCCTGGCTGAGTGGCATGCTTGGATGGCCCTGACGAGGGCCTCTTCGTTCCAGTCCCGTCCCGGACTTTCTCTCCGGAGGAGTCCTCCTCCTCCTCCTTCTTCACCGGTCCCAATTGGAGGGGAGCAAGAGAAATGCCGACGATTTCCAGGAACAATGAGATGTTGCTGCTTGTCTCACTCCTAACCAAAAGACATACACGTCAGCCCTGTGAGTCTAGTGTAGATAGGTACCTACCCGTCCGTCCGTTGTTGTCCAGCCTTTAATATGTTCGATCGTCACCACGTTTTTCGCGTGCGGCAGATAAGTATGTGGACACATCATATATAGTCAGCACTAATATAGACCGAGACGGGGCTGTAGGCTTCAAAGGTTACCTATCATTCTGTGATATTTTGAGGATGGAGGGTGTTGTTGGCTACTATGTGTGTGTGTATGTCTTGGTTTCTTTTCTTTTTTTTCTTCTTCTTTTGTATACGATTACAAATGCTCAGGGGGGGGCGGGGGGGGGGGGGGTCAATGTGGCCGAGTTAGTTCCGGGCAGGGGGACGAGTACATAAGGTGTTAGCAGCTAATATCAAACGTAGAATGAAATAAAATGAAAGAAAAGCAGAAAGAAAACAGGGTATCGGGCGCAGTGGCGGTACTGGTACATAGTGTTTACATTCCGAGCTTACCGGGCCTGATCCGTACTAGGTATCTTCCAATCCTGGTCTGTACCTCGATTTCTCACATACTTGCCTCTAAAGGTGACCGACTGGCCGGGTCCGGAGCTCCACTCCGGCGGGGGTCGCGCGGGGCGGGCGGCGACTGCATTTGTGGCGTCTCCACTCCACCGTGGTCCGGTCCATACCAAAGGATTGGATTCATTCGTTTCTTTTTTTTGGTAAATCGAATACAACCTACTGTATCGGCTCAAGTTCGTTCCCCTTTTGCACCTTTTCATTCGTATTGTACATTCTACTTGCGCGAATACGCATATAGCGACCAGTTGTCACGCATGTGAGGTTTGAGAACCCCCAAAGCCAGCCAAGATACGTACCAAGAACCCCTCATAATTTCTTCAGCTGAGTATGCAACGTCGATAGCGACCAGTGATCTAATCTGTCCCGGAACCCTTTTCAACCCCAAGTGACAGCTGGCAGCTTCCTGGAGCTACATAGGTAGTTGTATTGTTGGGTCAGAGCCAGGGGAGTTTTTCTTTTTCTTCCTTTGTTTTCGAACTCACTGCGAACTACCTACTGTCGAACTACTGTTGGCTTGGCGATCGATTACTTACAGACGCGGGGGGGATTATGAGTTTTCGTACATAGTAAGTCTATGAGATCTCACCTACACACCATGTTGCTGTCGATCTATGAGTATGCCCGCTCGGTATTCACTGTTTGCACTACTGCGTGCATCCGCGTTAAATGCGGGCGACGGACGACGGGCGATGGCGATGAGGTGGAATGTGGCAATGTTTACCGTGTCCAGTCAGTGTCGAGCTAGTATACTATTCTAGGTGGTTAGTTTCTAGGTTTGTTTTGAAATCCTAAAATCAGGAACAACAGCTTTCCAACGGATCTCTCGGTTCACACTAGCCCGAGCGGCAGCCGGTGCCGGGAAGCTGAAAGCTGAAAGCTACCTATAGGTGCCTATAAATAGCCAAGCTATCTGACGAGTAGCGAAGAAGACGATGATGCATCAACCGCTAGATTGTATTGTGTTCGTCCATTTGTTAGTCGACCAGTTCAGAGGGGGCATTCGCTATCGGGATCGAATGTAGGTGGTTGCTATCGGAAGCGCCCGATATAGCTCTTGTCTTATAGTAGGTAGTAGTAGATGTTATAATCCAAACGAGTGGCCACGACGATTCAGGGACTTCCCAAGTTCCTGCCAGCCTGTCAGGGGTACACTTTCACAGCACCCGACGTTCGGTACCTAGACTGACATTCGAGGACCGAATGAGAACATGAGGTAAGTAAGCAAGGCTGGGCTGGGCTGGGGTCATGGTTGCATCAGACCTGTCATTTTATTGCGATGCCTGCCCTGAGCCAAGAGAGAGGGACTGGAGAGAGACTCTGTTGTCAGAATGTCATGTCCATGACATGGCCTCTACTGGACCATGGGTAGGTATAGTGTACCTGAAGGCGGTGGAGCATCTTTCCGGTCACTTGCATTTCAGTTTGCTCCTTACCTTTTGACCCTGTCGCCGGGGAGAATCCTATTGCTTCCAGATTACTGGGCCGATGCTGGACAGGAGACTGCAGCGGATGTGTCGAGATCATATATAACGTCAACTTGACCCAAGCTCCAAAAGATGGTGGAGTGGAGACAGAGACGCGGTGGGTAGGCTGAGGACCACTTGAGAGACTCTCACCCGATCGGTCGGACATTGCCTGGCTTCGGGGAAGAAAATCGAATCGTGGATTTGACTCCTGTTATGCCACCTCCTCTGGCTCGGCATCGTGGATTCAGGGCCTGGCAGACAACGAATGCAAGGTACCTACGACCTACTCTGGGATGCCGGCTACACAAGGTCCCCGCAGAAGGGCGTACCTTTCCAAAGGCGTACCTTTCCACTTTGCTTTTTCACGACTGACTGGAGAATGTGAAATGAGCCTTTCCGAAGCCGAGCGACAGCAACATCTGCAAGAGATTCCCATTACTTTAGGTAGGTATGCATTGCTGTCCCTGGCAGGTGCCGTGTTAGCTGTCTCCATCTGCACTGCTAGTTTGGCTTCCTGGCTTGCTCTGTTAAGAAATGATAAAAAGATAGTGTCGAAACTGATGTGTAAGCTCAACAACTCTGCCACGTTATACACATTGTAGATTCGCATGTCCATTTGGACGTGTGACCGCCATGTGACCGCCAGGATGAGGCTATTTCGTGTCTTGTTCTCTCGGGTTCCGGTTAGCCTCAACGCACGCACTTTACACTGCAGGGGCAGCTAGCGCAAAGTGTAGGCGCCGGCGATGCTGATGATGTGCTTCACTTTATGCAGAGTGAGTGGCCTGAGTGGATCTGATTAGCATCCTACACTAAACGGCGTTCGGCCTTGTGAACAACGAATTCGGTCCCAGGCGGGCATTGTATTGGCCTTTGTTTCACCGAATTCCGTGGACCGACCGCATGCGGCGGCAGTCAACTTGGTCATGACGTTCAGTTGACGGGCATTTCAGGCACCAGAGAATTGGACTTTGGTTCCTAGCCGCTGCTGGCATCAGGCATCACTCATCGGCAGATGAATGCAGCACTAGCCAGCAGCTAGCGCTAGCCTGTTTACGTCCTGTCCACTTCCAGTGGGGTTTGATCGATCGTCTCTGTTGAAAAAGAATGCCCCACCCGCCCGGACCCGAATAGCCCCACACTGCTCTTCGCTCCTGCATGATCGATCCCTACCATCCAACCATATGACGCCATCCATGACCACGCATTGGCTACCTAACAGCTCTTATCCCCCACCCGCGTTGAGCCGCGTAGATCAGTGCTGCCAATCGGCACATCCGTTACCAGATGTTAGCGTGTTAGTGAACCTATCCATCACTGCACTCACACATTTTTCCCTCTTTCTGCAGAAAAAGCAACGAAAATCGATTTTTCACGTCCCTTCTCGAATTTCCCAATCCTCGATCCAACAAACCGGTCAACACCCATGATGGCCTATCGGGAAAATCCTCCATCCGATGACGACGACGACAACAAAAACAACAACAACAACAACAACGAACAGAATAACGGGAGCGCGCGACAACGGCAAGGACGACTTCCAACTTACCTGGAACCCAAGAGCGGTGTCGTCTTGGTAGCACATACACTACCATACTCGTGTCACTGAAGGACACAAAGGCATGCGATGACGCGGACAGCGGCATCCTGACCCTGGCTGACACTGGCTTCTGTCTCTCAAGGTTCTGGACCTGGATTCTGGGTACCTACTTTGCCCATCGGCATGCTGCTCATGCAGTATCACGTCAACAAACTGCATAAGCGGCCGATCAAGAAACCTGCTCTTCTTCGCTAGAGACAGCAGAAGCAAGCAAGTCTGGGAAGTGTGCCGTGCACAAGTTGCCCTTGGAAACAGAACAAAGCCAAAATGATACTGCTTGTCTGGGGCTGAAGCAACGCTGTGCCGTAACACATGCCTCAACAAGCTTACAGCCTCTCAGGAACCGAGAGCGGCACCCAAGGCAACGAGGGGGAGGGTAACACCAAGTCGGAGAGAAACCGGCGAGGTGGAACGGGCGCGAATCCGATTGTGCCCTCTTCACGCTAAAAGGTCTCTAAGCTTTCCGTCTCATTGTTCTCGAACAAGCTTTCGCGTGTCGGCCCTGCCACGGCCCCTCCCTTCCCTTCCCTTCCCTTCCCTTGCAGAGTCCCAGTCTCAGTCAGTCCCCATTTGCATCCTGCATCTCATTGGATCCAGAAGAGTGTATGACGCTCAGGAACCATCGGTACCAAGCAATGAGTGAGCAGGATCAGGCACAAAGCACGCATTCAGGTACGCTGCTCCTCTGTCCTCGCATCACACGCACCCGTTTCGCCATTATCAGTACATGCACATGCGAGGTGTCGATAAGACGTGAGATGCAATGTGTCGCCCAGGCTGGTCGGTCAGGCACCCGAACTCCGAATAAGGAACACGGACACAGACACACAAGGCACACAAAAGTATGGCAAGGAGTTGGAGTTACAAAGACACTGGGCAAGGCGAAGGAGTGACACACTCACGGTTTGGTATACTGACTTGTAGGGGTAACAGTGGGACAGGGCACCGCACTTGCTTGCCACACGGGGATTCACCGCCAACTCTCTCCTCCCCTAGCGCGCACCCATCGCATTGCTTGGTAGGTATACGGTTCCTGACGGGCCCTTGCTGGTTGCTGCTGCCGGTGGTCCTGACTCAGAGCAAGCTCTGGATTTGTGCAATGGTGATATGGTGATGAGTTGCACTCGGCTGGCACAGCTCCATAGTAAGAGGTCAGTTTATGGTTCCCATGACCTGAAATGCACTGTCATTGGTGACGGGAGATGGACATATAGGGTGGTATCATCCATCCATCTGATATCCCAAGCCGAGATCTCCGATTGTCAATGGACATCGATGGGCCGCGTCCGGGATTCTCGCATCGTACCCGGAACAAGGCGACTTGCCACCGACAGAGCCTCATAACAAACACAAGCGATTTGCCATCCCTGCCGTCAGAAAAAGAAGGAAAAAAGAAGGAAAAATCAAGTAATTTAATCTGGCGAAAGGGCGGGGATGGCAGAATGGTAGGAACCCCTCCCTGGTACAAATGAAAAAGAATCTGCGCTGTCGTCAAAACAGGCTGTCTGCCCCTGGGCCCTGGCTGGATGTTGGAAGACGCGGCTGTGAGTGCCCCCTGTAAAACCTGCCTGCCACTAATCACATGTGCATGAACTAGGAACAAAAGTCTTTTTGACCCTGGTTGTGCCTGTGCCTGGAGGGGTGCACTCGTACCTTTTCTTTTTCTTTTCTTCTTATCTTTCAGGCTACAAGACGCTCCTGCACGGCTCGTGCGTGAGCTGGATCAAAGCTAACGATGATATCTCCACCCCGTCATCATGCGGGGTCAGGACAGCTGGTTGAGGTTGGGCAGAAACACGGGCATCATCACAAGCATTTACCTAGTTGCGGACCTTGAAACTCTTGGACTGCGTTACTGCAACCAGTCAGTGGCTTCGCTCCATGAGACGATTCTCTGGAACGAGAAAGTTGTGCACGACACCGCTGGAAGCGTGGACAAAGTCTCAGGCCTCAGCTCTTGCAGGTGTCACTGTCGCCGCAAACGGCTCTGCCCATTCGGATGAGTGTAACTGGATGTTCACGGTTCTACCCGCCGATTCCGCACTAACAAGCTTCATCAATCCGCTTTGTTGTTGAAAATCGGTCTTTTCGCCGATTCGATGTCGATCAGCGAGTGCCGACATCACCTGCATCGTACAGGTATTCTTCTTTGTCCATCTTTACACTACACTAGAAAATGTGATACTTTGGGGGGGGGGGGGGGGGGTTAATCCCTTGAAGTGCTGTGGACCTTACAAAATGAGGAGCAGACACAACCCAAAGCGACCATTATTTTGTACGCGCTTCTCATCACGCGAAAAGGCATGCTGAATACCACAACTCTCAGGTTACAGCCCACTGAGCCCCCCTCCCCGCTGGTGGATCGCATCCCCTTTTATGAAACAGCCCAAGCATTCCAACCCCTCCCTCGACCCTCGTTTTCTTTGAAAGCTGGGAAGTCTAAAAGAGAAGATCCCCCGCTCCCGGCTTCCCATTGCCGCCCTGATCTTGTGTCTCCTTGGCCAAATCCCTCTACATGGGTACCCAATACCACTTGTCCATCCATCCAGTGTTTTCGCTTTACGGTTTTTTCCGGATGAGGCCGCCCGAACCGGCCGTCTTGGACCCCCGGTTTCTTTTTGTCGTTGTGGGAAAAAAAAAAAAAAAAAAAGATGGTTCAGTTTGAGTCCAAGTTGAGTTTCCAGTGGTGGTGCCTGCCTGCCTGCCTGTGCCTGGCTGTCTGTGCCTGTGTGCACTTTGACACCCAAGACATCAGCTGTAACAGTAACACGCACGTATGCGCTGTTCTCGGACTCCCTCCCGTTTTCGGGATGATACCATCGAGTAGAAGAAAGATAAGAGAATGGATAACACTCGCAAGGTAACCCAGCCAAAAGATGTCCTGGCCGGAAAAAAAAAAGAGAAAGAAAAAAAAAAAAAAAAACCAAGGAAGAAGGGATGTGAAACACTGACATCAACCATTCGCACAAAAACTGGAGCAAAAACGTGCTCTCGAGGTACACGGACTGAAGTTTGAGTAACGGGCACCCCAAGCTGCAAACGCCGTGGCTACGTAGGATCGAAGAATGGCTCTAGTGTTGTAGGCATACTGCTGTAAACTGTTGCGTAAACATCTCGTTCCGTCTCATGTCATCGTCTCACCATTGGCCGCCATCACACTTTCTCCACAATCCGAGCCCAAGCAAGGTACCCGTAAGCCTCTCTCTCTGGTCATCTCTTCCGGGCCAACTCATGTACACCTATCTATGCACCTTTCATTCCTACTAGTCTAGGCAGGAGAATTTCACAAGAAGCAGTCGATGCTACAAGATCAGGTACACTACATACATAGCATTGCGGTCAGCTGTCCTGCCACCTGAATAACCTCAACTTGGCGGCATATCCCCAATCCACACACAACATACGGGCGCTGACAGGCCAACAAGCTCCAGGCAAGGGAGAGGGGAGGGTCCCCGGTCCCAAGTCTCGGTACTCCTTTCGGTAGTGTACACACAGCCAGGTACATATGTAGTAGCGCTAAAGGCAAGGACAGCCTGATCCCATCCCATGGCTTCCGAGATCCCATCGACGACAAGACACAACCACATTTGTCCGATAGGGAACCCGTTGCATTGGCGGTATCCAGCCCGACCGACGTGCATACAGAGCTGTTGTTCTCTCTGTCTGGTTGGCTCCCTCGAGTAGTGTAGCATCCAATCCATCCATTCCTCCCCCCCCTTGATCGAGTAGTTCGCCAGCAAGGGCGGCGGCGTGCCACCAGCCATTAAGACTCAAACAAACAGATGCAACCAAAGAGGCCTGCCAGCCAGCCAGCAGAGCAAGCGTACCTATCTCACCACTCATCCATCACCGAGAAAGAGGCGGCGACTGGGAGGCTCACAGTCACGGCAACCAAGCAATCAATCATTCGGGCTACGGGCGGCGTCATCAATCATCTGGCATTCCCCTAGGCAGTAACCCGGTGAGGGTGGGCATCTATCCATCCATCATCCGAGCATCCAGTCCCGGGAGTGTAAGAGAGAGGGAGAGAGGGAGAGAGATAGGTGTTAGGGTCAACATATCCACTCGGGCGGCGACTGGACCTGACCACTGACCAGACAGACCACGACGATAGGACATGACCCCAGGAACCGACTGGACGATCAGAAAACCAGGACCACATATGTAGGTGCAGGACAGGACAGGAACGGAAGAAGTCAGGCCAGGAGACCTACACAATTGCCACTTCCCCTGTCTCGTGCGCGCCATTCAAGGAACCCGCTTCGTCACAGCGTTTTTGTCTTTCTTGTCTTCTCCTGTCCTTGAGGAAGGGGGGGAGGGTACATTACATATCCATCCTTTTGTGGCATTCTGCTTGCTTCACTTGCTTCTGCTGCTTTCGGGACCTGCTTTTGCCTTTTTTTTTTTTTTTTTTTTTCTTTTTCTTTTTTTGCCCACTTTCTTGGCGTACACGTACATATGTATGCGACTGTAGCCATAGTATCGAGGTTGGCTTGGCAAAAGGGACAGACAGACAGACAGACAGACAAGCAGTCAACTCACGCTGCCCCTGTATCAGAAGACTTGACTTCCATGACTTGAGTGACAGGAAGAGAAAAAGACGGGAAACAGAGAGGAAAGAGAGAAAAAAAAAAAAAAAAAGGATCCCCACTTGGGCCCCCGGACGACATACGACATATCGACGACTGCTTCTTCTCAGTGCCCATATCCACACTACCTCTATGTACTACTTTTTGTCCCGCCCCGCCCTCCTCCTTCGATAATCAACAGGACATACTAGCTACCTACCTAATCCCGGCAAACCCATTCCATCTCCACCGTGCCGCCCACCAACCAGCAAGTCCAAGCCCGGCCAGCAAGATCCTGTCAGCGTCCCGCCCCAAGAAAGAATCCTGACGGACCCGACCTGAGTGTCAGCATCACCCATTTTCCATTCATTCCATCTTCTCTCTCTCTCTGAACGCAAGGCACCACGACCACCACCATCTGCCATCAGCACCACTCACTGTCACTGCCACTGCCACCTTTAGGTTGACACTACTCTAGGCGACGGCAATCCCAAAGCAGCCTTGAGATCAATCATATCACGACAAGGACGACGACGACTAGACAGACGACAGGCGGACTAGCCTCCTCCTCCTCCTCCACCACCACCACCACCACCACACCAAACAACTTGTGCGACATCGACACCAAAAAAAACACTACCTCTACACATACAACCCGCCGTCTCCCAGGGGGGAATTTGACCGCACACCACCCACCTACCTGGCCAACAGTGACCTGAGACGACCAAAAGATCGGCATTGCGCCCCTTTCTGTTCCCGCTCTGCCTCCGACCTCTTCCATTTCCATCCTAGTCCCCAGCAGTCACACTCACTCTCACTCCCACCACTCCAATCCATCCCTCGCCCAGTCGCTTCTCAAACGAAACGCAGTGAGCGCTGAGTGCCCCTCCCCGCACTTGACCCCTGCCGCGCGTGCCTACATACAAGCACACACTTTCCTGACCTCAGCCTCATCCACTTTCCTTCCTTCCTGCTTCTGTCATCGCTTTGTTCTTTTTCAACAAAACTGTCTCGGGTCCCCCCCTCTATTCTCATTCGCCTCTCGTCCCGAGTGCGCTTTTTCTTCCATCCCGTCTCGTCTTCGGGCAAAGCAATATAGACATAGTAGCCGACGCCGCCATCCGCTATCATGGCTGCAACATTTCGTCCCGTCAATACGCCTCTGTCGCCCTCGGCCGACTCGCCAATGGTGATGGACTCGACAACAATAACGTCACCAACCACACCCAGACCTAGCACTGCCCCGAGTCAGTCGTCGTCATCCCGACATTTGGACGACAGCAACCACCACCCCGTGACGACGACGACACCCACTCGCACAACACCCAACTATGGAGCCGGCGCACTGGCCTCGCAACAGCCGCTCCCCACGTCGCCCTTCCCCGACTCCGTTCAGCTCCCCGACATCACCGACCGTGGCAACAGCATGCCCAGGCGAGAAAATTCGCAGCACTCACGCAAGTCCAAGGACTCGGACGACATGGATATGGATGAGTCGGATGGCGAGGGAGCGGGTGAAGACGGCCATGCATCGGACGATGAGGAGATCAACGCGGATGGCACAAAGTCCAAGAAGAAGAAGTCGCAGAGGTTTTATTGCACAGACTATCCGCCATGTAACCTCAGTTTCACGAGAAGTGAACACTTGGCACGACATATCAGGTACGCTGCGCATCTTCTCTCCCACAGCACACAATCATCATGGCTAACGCTGCTATCACTTGCAGGAAACACACTGGTGAAAGGCCGTTTCAGTGCCACTGCGGTCGCCGCTTCTCCCGTCTCGACAACCTCAGGCAGCATGCCCAAACCGTGCACGTCAACGAAGAGATCCCCGGAGATTCGCTCGCCGCGACCGGGACAAGGTTCCAGAGGCAGATCAGGACGGACAGGGTACGCCAAGCGGGTGGCAGGGCCAGGGCGGCTACCGCGGGTAGCGTCATGCCCGTCGTGCGTGGCCATTCCAAGTCCATGTCCACGTCAAGCATTCCCAACATTAGCCAGCTAGGTGCTCCCTATGGTGCCAGCGATGCCCGCCGCCGCCCGCCGCCATTGGTCATGGCCGATCCTCGCGCGAGGGTGTCGATGGAATACCATGGTCCCGATGGTGCCTATCACCGGGGTGCTTCTCCGAGCGACTTTGGCACTCCCACTTCTGCCACCTTTTCGACCGGGCAGAACAGCCCCCGATGGGGGCCCGGTATGGTATCGCCAAACTCTTCACACTCGCGCTCGCACAGTATGTATGTCGCCGGGGCTAGGACACCTGGCCGTCGTCTGAGCGTGCCTTCGGGAGGCAACCCGTTTCAGTCACCGCACGGCAGCAACGTTCGGGGTCCTCTCTTCGGTCCTTCCGGCATCAACACATCCAACAACGGTGCCTTCTCGCCAAGTCAGAGCACCCTGCTGGCATCGCCCACGGTGTCGAACGCGAGTGGCTGGTCGCGGCGAGATTCTCTGTCGAGCGTGGCTGATGATGCCTGGCGTCGGCGAACTTGGCATCCGGAAAGTCGTGAATTTAACAACGGCGTCAGCCGGTTGCGTGAAGTGATCACGCCTTCGCAGTTTACCCATGCTCCTCCCCCCATTGCTAACCCAGCCAACCAATCGCCACAGCCATTCCGTTTGCCTGGAATCGAATCCTTTGACGAACCCCATCGGCCGCTGTCGCCTCCCCGCCGTTTGCCATCACCGATGATGGTTGATGCTCCCCGGCCTGCTCAGCACCAACCCCCTCACCCGAACGAGATGGGCTTCAACCGACCCCGCGAACTGTCGGCCCAATGGGATACGAGCCTCCACCGTGGCTTGACGGGGCTCAATATCAACACACAGACCCCGCCTCGCGATGGGGCTTCAGCATGGGCAAACGACGTCAATCATGCCGTCATGTCGCAAGCAGACCGTACCCGGGCCCCTCAGGGCCAACCAGGGGCGTATCAGCAGACGGTGCGGTTCGATACCGAGGTGCAGACCGTTCCTGCCCCTCTGTCTCGCCAGCACCAACATCAGCAGCCAAGCGGACCACCACCTCCACCGTACGGAAGGGGTCATCACCATACCATGTCGGCTCCGTCGATTACTTCACAGCCTACCAAGAGACATGGCTGGTATCACGGGTCGAGTGGGCCGGCCGGAGAGACGATTCACGAGGGACGGGCGCGCGTGGACAGGATCATGCATCCTAATGTGGCGGCTTTTCAGGGTTTTCCTGCTAGGGACCGGGAACAACCACCGCAGCAGCAAGCGCCATCTCCACAGCATCATCACCAAGGATACCAGCAGCAGCAGCAGCATCAGCAGTATCAACACCAAGGGCCACCGGTAGGACATCAGCATCAGCAAGGAGGGGGACCACCGACGATGGAAAGGATTCTGGAGAAGCCACATCCAAATGCGCACGCGCACGGGCACCCCGCCCACGCTCATCCGCATCAACACCCGCACGGTCCTCCAGCTGGCGGGGATACGGCATCGCTTAGGAGGCTGGAGGCGTTGGTGGCTGTGGCTGTGGGTTCGAGTGAGGGGACTACAGCTGCTGCTTATTAGGGTGGGCAGGAGCGGGCGCATGACTATAAATTCGCACCCATGGCGTTTCCAGACAACATTGCAAACTTACACGGCGAACGAGAAGATGAGGAAAGTACTCAGCAACGAAGTACAATGAGAAGAAGAGAACAAGGATAGGCTTTAAAGGCGCTGTCGCTGTCGTCATAAGCTAGGTGTTCTTCTTCTGCGGAACAGGGGAGGTGGGCGGAGTCAGCGGGGTGAGCAGGTAGAAGAAAACGGCGAGGAAGATCAAGGCCGACTTGGAAAGGGATTTACACGATATAAGCGGAGGAAAGCAGTAGCGAGAATCATTACTGGCTGACAAGCTAGGTCTACAACAATGATGAGGGCGAAGAAGGGGGTCGTGAGAACAAAGAAAGGGCGATGGAAACGAAAGAAGGGGTTGATGAAAACCACTTGATGACATTTTTTTCTTTGGTATGACGTTGGGTCATGGGCATGACGAAACTTTACACAACATGGAGCGCGCACACGGAACATCTGCTCTTTTTTTGTCTTTCTCATTTTGCTTTTGTAGTTTCCCTTTCTTTTATCTGTCATTCCCGGTTCGGCTTTATGGGTTTGGGTTTTGGTTTTGCTTGGTTACATGATGGCGTTCAGGATGGTAGGTAGGCAGGCAATGAAGAGGGTTACGGAAGGGTCTCTATCTATCTAGCAAGGAAGGGGGGTTTTTTTTTTTTTTTTTTTTTAGCACGGGAAGTGAGTAGGTAGCATTTTCCGGGGTACAAGTTTCTTCTTTTGTTGTTGTGTGTGTGTGTCTGTGTGTGGTGTTGATGGGCAGCAGGGCGGCAGGGCAGCGGCATTTTGACGACTTTATGTTTTTCCCGTTTTTTTTTTGTATTCCTTTCCTTTTATCTGTCGTTAGGGAGTACCAACTGAACACTACTTGAGCATTCGTTTTTTTTGCAAGAATATGATACCTAGGTACCAATTTCCAAACTCCGCTCTATCGTTTTGACATATTTGTAATTGGTAGTGGAAATATGTTTGGATACACACACACCCTTAGGGAGACACCAACTCACACGTCTGCGACACATGCACACATACACACATACACACATTTGGATTGAAAACTCCTTCCTTATCAGTTATTCATCCGTCTGGACGCTGAAACCATGACCGAATTATTTATTATCATTATCGCTGTTCTGTTCCTCTTGTTTGCTGTCGCTGTTTGTTGTCCTGGTACCTAGGTAGCCAATAAATACCTGACACCTCCTGCCAAGTGCCAATCCATTCACAACATAGGTAGTCATTCCGTCATGCCAACGTTAGGTATAAGCCCAATAATACCTACCTACCTACCTACCTATCTTTTCCGCTTTTATGGTTTCTTAGAGGTAGGTAGGTAGGTAGGTAGGTAGCTAACAACTTGACTTGGAAGCTCATTCATTCATTTCTCTTCCAGCAAGATTATTCCCATAGGTTTTTCACCGTCTACCTTTCCTACCTTCCTTTCCTGTCTGTCTGTCTGTCTGTACCTGTGGACAGGCAACTCTCATGTCAGGCAGGTACTACGTAGAAGGGGGCCGGTCCCGTCTATGAGGAACCAGATGAGCCAGAGGAGCCGGAAGACCCAGAATTTCCAGACGAGCTAGAAGACCCGGAGGAGCTAGACGGGCCAAAAGTGCCATATATACCAGCGCCGCCGGTGTTGGGAGCAGAAGGTGCGATGTCTGAGTTTGGCTTGGAGGACATTTTGGTTGGTTTTTGATTGTTGGTTCTGGTGGTTTGGCTAAATGTTGATTTAAAAGTGGAAGTGATGTGGTTATGATGGATGTAGCTGGAGATCTGGTAGTTGGAAGGACCGGGTGTTTATATCACTTCTATGGTGGAGGTCTTATCGCCCGATAACCCCAAGTCTGTATGGAGGTGGATGTACCTAATGATCCATCAGAATTCGGACATGGAAAAGTTTGCGGTTCTCGAACGGCCTGGATTCGCTGCTCTACCTCATGACCGGAATGCGTCCTCGTGAGTAGGTAGATAAGGTTTGTGTAGTGTTTGTTCAAGGATTTCACTTCGGGAGAGTCTAGAGCTAGAGCATGAGAAAGATAGTTGGAATGGATGAAACGCAACAGTACCTAGGTGATAGGGGAAAGATTGGTCATAACTCGAAACTCGAAGGAGATGTTTGATTGCTTGATCGACTGAAAGCATGGCTCCGTTGGTTCATGGCAATGAGATGCTCCATTGTACCTGCACTCAATGTTTGTATCGTGTTCCATATCTTGAACTTTTCCTGACCACTGCCTAGGGTACCTCCTTCTCAAACACTTCTTGAACACTACGAAAATCTCCAGTCTTTCCCTCGCAAACATCCTTGACGACGTCACGCATTCGATATCAGCCTGTCCTCATTATTACCTCACTTCTCGTGGTCCAAGACACTTCGACTTCTTCTTCTTCTTCTTCTCCTTCACTTCATAAGGCTGAGATTTTCGGTGTGTTGTGGAACTTGAGATTGTTGTGGTCTTTCCATGACGGAAGACGCAGTAGTTCTTGCATGTTTCCACACTTGGACTCGAAGGGCCTTTCCCGCTGGATGTTAAACTTCAACTGTCTTCATTGTTCCTGTAATTTGTTATTTCTAGGCTGCCATCAAGTAAAAACCCATAGCGCATGTTACAGCCATTGATATCACATTGTGTGTCTTTTCGAACTGCCCACGGTCGTACACATGGATTATTTGATTCCAAATTTTGATCACAACCCAATCATTCCTGCTCCCTCCATCATCAATCACATCATGATTTCACCCAGTCCTTCGTCATAACATCCACCGAAATCAACGCCCAACTCCAGTACCTCCTTTCCTTTCCTTACCTTCATTAGGTAGTAGAGATACTCATGCACTTTTCTCTTGTTCATCTCATCACATTTCCCAGGTTTTTCGTTTCGACCCATCCCCCTCGCCAACCTCCCCCTTTCTCACCCTACATTGTACAATTATGCAACAGGTAGTGGTACTCTCAGTTACAACCTCGGCTTCGGCTCTGGCTTAGGCGTAGAGACAGTGGTGACAGTGGTAGTGACGACAACACCACCTATGCCCGTAGAAGGGGGCAGATCCCGACCCTATTAATCCTCCGGAACCGGAAGAGCCGAAAGAGGTCGAAGAACCACCGGAAGATCCTGTCCCGGAGCTGTCTGAGCTGGACATTTTGGTTGCTTGTCTTTGAGGGCGTACAGATTTTGGGTTTTGGGTCAACTTATGTTTGGAGAGAGTGACTGGGCCAGAAGGGGCTGTAGCCGCCGGCCTGTGGTGCAAAGTTGATGCAATGGGTAGTTAAATGGAGATTGGTGAGGAGGGTTTAACTCTACTTATACCCGCTCAGGGGTCAAGTGTCGAGGTTCTACAAGGGTTCGGTATATCAGTTATCTGAACAATAGTGTGTGTGATCTATCGTGAAATGCTATCCTCTTGTTGTGGTCGTCGGGCTTGCTGTTCTTCTTGCTGACCACCTCATGTAATATGTTGTAAAAAAAAAAAAACATCATGAGGTGTTTGATGAAGGTTTTGCGCATGACTGGATACAGACTGGAGTTGTTCATGGATTAGTGATCTGGTGGCTACCTCTATGATCCCTACCTGAACATAGGTGGGAGAACGGATAAAAAACACCACAAGTTCAGCATGTTTTCCAACGGTTTTAGCAGTACGTGAAGATTGCTTGCTTAATCAGCCCTGAATGTAACCGAAGAACGGAGTTGAAGTGGGATGGGTGTACCTTAGCAAGATACCAATTACCATGAAGGGAAAGGGTCGAACGAAATGAATGGAACAATTACTTGTTGTGACTATTGTAGGTCATGAACTAGTGGTACGGTTGACTTCAACCTACCTGTTAATAACAAGACAAGGTACCTGTAGTCAGTCCATTTTCACCGGACACGAAGCCAAAAAAAAGACCGCAAATGATGAACCAAAGTCAACTCTGCTTCATCTCCACCATATAATGGCTTGATTTTCTTTGGCTTCGCTCAATGTCACAAGGGAGAAACAGTTCGCAATCATGTCAACAGGAACCAACGCCCATGAGCGCACGGTTTCATTGCCATATGCTAGTATCTCTTCCACATACACATCCCGTAAATCAACAGCTCAACCCATATTTTCTACCTCCCCATTGAAGCCTACCAGCTCTCACAACCTTATTCTCTTCCATCTTCGATTCCCTCGTCCTCCCCAAATCATGAGTTCCCCTCGCCAAGAACCTTTTCCGTCACTGCGTCATGTCACTCCCCCACCCGTCTCCTTACCTGTCAAGCCAATGTCTAGGTGACTCGGTGACTGCGATCCTTCTCAGATCCGGCGTGGATGTAATCATGGCCCTTATACCCCTTACTGCTTGGAGGTATCCTCCTTTCCCTCCTTGGTCTCCTTGGTCTCCTCCTTCTTCTCAGCGGCGGCGAAAGCCTGAGCAGGCTCAATGGTGGTGGTGATGACGGTCGTAGTGGTAGTCGTCTGGACAGGGGCGGAGACGGTCTCCTGGGGCTGTTCAGTGCCGGCGGCGGTAGCGGCGGAGGTGGTGGTGTTGGAGATAGGGGCAGACATTTTGCTTGTTTCGTGGTCTTTTGGTTGAAAAATTTGGTCTTGTGGTTTACTTGGTGTTGTGGAAGTGGAAATGTGGATGTGGATGTGGATGTGTGGATGTGATGCTGATGCTGATGTAGAGAGAAGCCGAACATGAAGGGGAGGAGAGGGGTAGTTATACATCTTACGGACGTCACTCTCGTCACTCAAGGTCACGGGTTTGACAGTTGTACGTTTGTGGTTTGGGGAATTTGTTGGTGGTTTCCGGCGTTCGGTGAAACGACTTGTTGGTCATTCATTTCTCCGTGTACGTGGTGTTGCCGATATGGAACAAATGTTTCGATGACGGGCGGTTATACTGTCATCCCAAGAATTTTGAAACGGTTTGCCGCCAACGATATCTCTGTACTTAATCACACACCACTTCGCCGGCTGGGCCCGAAAACGTGAACTTGAAGCGATGCAGTAACACGACCTCGGGTGTTACCAATTCAGAACGGGAAGAAAGTGATAACAGCCAATGTGGACAGAACCACCTACCTGTTGGCGACGGTTGGTTGTTAA